TTTTTTTTTTTTTTTTTTGAGATGGAGTCTTGCTCTGTTGCCCAGGCTGGAGTGCAATGGTGTGATCACAGATCACTGCTGCCTGGAACTCCTGGGCTCACATAATCCTCTTATCTTAGTCTCCTGAGTAGCTGGGACTACAGGTGCCTATCACCATGCTGAACTAGTTTTTCTATTTTTAGGGGAGGCGGGGTCTCACTCTTGCTCAGGCTGGTCTCAAACTCCTGAGCTCAAGGGATCTTCCCATGTAACTGTTGTGCTCAGCAGCTCTGCTGCCAGGTGCCCTGTGTCCAGCACAGAGTTGTGCCTGCTCTGTCTCTAATGGAACACTCTCATTTGTGAGGAAGACATTGTTTCATGATAAGCATTCATGTTCTTAGTGAATTAAAAGGAGAATTATGAATGTATCTACCATTCTTATCACCCTCTTGAATTTAAGAATGAAACCATGTAGTTAAAATTGCTTATGAAAACCTTAAAACCACCTTATAAAAATTCTTTTTTGATATTTGTTTTGAAAAATACCACTTTGGGACTGTCTCCACTGTGGAAGCTCGAAGCAGCCATCTCTCCCTTCCTCTGATGGCCTTGCTTGTGTTTGGAAGTGCATGTAGCATGTGGGGAGTGTGGTGGCAGCCTGGCCCTTGTCCTCAGGCTCTCCCCTTTCTCCAGAGGGGCTGGTTGAGCAGTACCTCGCAGAGCTCCGGAGCCCCGAAGAGATGACTCGATGCGGCTTCTCTTCAGCCTTGGGCGCCCTCCCCGGCTTCCTCTTGAAGGGCAGACTCCAGCAGGTGGGCCTTGGTGTAGGGCGGGCATGGGCTGAGGGGAGTAAGGAAACCACCAGGCATCTTCGATTGGGAAAGAATTACTGAAAACCAGCCATGAGAGGGAGCAGGGGCGCCAGAGTTGTGTGGCTACCGGCACCTGACCAGTCTGCTGGTGGAAGGATGGCCTTGGAGGAAGTTCTGCCACACCCTGGAAAGTGCTGTTTGCAGAATTGGTTGTCCTTGCAATGAGAACACGTTTGCTTCCTGTGTCTCAGCCGCCTCCAGGTGTCATCCCCAGACCCACCCGTCCACCCTACATTAGCAGTGAGGGAGCTGCCATGGAGTTGCTATGTGTCTGTCTCACCTATGGCAACAGGGCCACCCCTCTCAGGTGCTCTTCCTGGCCTAGAAGGACAGATAGCGCCTGGCATCCACTCTCTGGGCAGTGGCTGCTGGGCTTCAAGCATAGCTGGGTGGAGCTTGCTGCACAGAGACGCCCCTGAAGAGCCCACCCCACAGGCTTACTGGGCAGCTGGTCCAACCTCTGTCGTCTGCAGTGTCCAGTAGGGAGAGATGGTCCCTCTGCCCATCTGTTGAATTGAAAGGTGGGGGGATTGTTATCAGCCTTCTACCAAGAATGGGGCTTATTCTGTGTCCTGGGGCCACTCAGGCCTCATCCCAGAGGGGCACATCACCCACTGCCTTTCCCTCAAGCCCCACTCTCCTCTCGCCTCCCTTTCTCACCTTGCTGACCTTGTGTTGTATACTAAGACAGGGTGTCCCAAGTCCTCCTATCCCTGGTTTGTCTCTCTCTAGGGTAGTGATACCCCCTCACCTCCAACACCCTGCCTTTGTCCTGAGCCCACCCAGGGTCATAATGATATAGGTGGCACCTTGCTCGGTATATCCTTGGGCCCTATAGACCTGCTCCCCTCCTGCCCCACCAGCTTTAGTCCATGGAGTTCTCATCTCACCCTTCACCCCATTCACTGTCCACCTTGACCCTGCCAACCTCCCCACCAGGCATCCTGCTGCTGCTGGACCTAGAGGACACTGAGCCAGGCCCTGGCCATGCTCTGCCTTGGGCCACCTGTTCCCTGCAGTCCCCAGGCTATAGCTCTAGGTAGACTGTCAGGTGCTGGGTGGGCCCCTCTACCAGTGAGACCCCCCTGCCACTGCCATGCTGGGGTCTGTGCATGTGAAGTAGGGTCCCCGTGAAGTAGTTGTTAGGACTAAACTATCACTTTAGAAACAGATGGAACTGTTAGGGTGCAGCAGTCTCATTTGTCTTCTGTCTCAGGATGAGGCAGGAGCCAGTGTCTGCCTGTGCATCACTCTGGTCACACTGGGTGTGGCACCACTGATTTGCCTGGGAGCCCATCCTGAGGGCTTTGTCTGTGTGCACAAGGGCACACTTGTCTTAGAGCTGACATCCTGCTGCTGAATCTTCACTGTGTTTCAGGTGCTAGAGGGTTTGGCAGCCATCACCCGAGCTTCTCCTGAGGACATGAGCTTCGCTGAGTCTAGGAGAGATGCCGTGAGGGCCATTGCCAGGTGAGCCGCACCAGCACCCCGCTGAGGTTGAGGCTCAAAAGCCAGTGGCCAGCACTGATGGGGCTTGTCAGAGGCCTGATCATAAAGCTGATGGTCAATCTGTCCAGGCCTGGCTTCCAGCCCCCACCCCCAGTTTTCATCTCTAGCTCTGCTCATTAATGGTTTCATGTCAGACCCATAGTGAGATCACTTCTTTACTTCATGAAACTGGCCCCTTCGAGGTTGGCAAGGAGGGATAATGCAGCCAGCTGGCTGTGGGGTGAGCTCTGCCTCTGGGTGGCACTTGGACCGTGCCCCTCGCTACCCACCCTGCATAGGCAGGGCCCACACGCCCTCTGTCCCTATGTCAGCATCAGTCACTTTCTCGTCAGGGAAAGGGAAGAAGGACCAGCCACAAACGGCCTCTTTTACACATTGAGGTAGCAGCATGTGACTTCAGAGAAAGGAGCTCTGGGCTCTGAGTCTTCTTCGGGCCTCTGGTCTGCCCTGAGAGTGTGATGTGAAGGCCTCGCTGCTCATCGCACATGTTTTAAATCTAAGGATATGCCATACTGTGGGAGTGAAGGCAGGGGCCCCGGATGAGGCTGTGTGCAAGGAGCACGTTGGACAGCTCTACAGCACTCTGCTGGGCTGCGTGGACGACTACACCACAGACAGCAGAGGGGACGTGGGCGCCTGGTAAGCAGCAGCCAACATCACTTGTTCCCAGTGAGACCCATTTATTCAGTGAAAACTAGAAAGCCTTGAGTTTTTCTTCAGTGAGCAATCTTAACAGATGTGTATGTTGTGTTTCAAAGGTCTGTGGGAAAGTTACCCATTCTCTGTCTTGGTGGCATTTGTTATGAGATTTTGCTGTGGCTTGTCCAGTCTGTCTGCAGCAGTTAAACACGAACTGTTTGACAGTGTGAGAGAGAGTGAGCAAGCATGTGTGCCTTGATGTCCCACTGAAGCGAGTCTGAGTCACCTCTGAAACTCACCTGTGCAGGGAGTCTTGGAGCCCAGCTCACAGGTGGCAGGTGGGTCTCCCCATCTGCATTTTCTTTCTTTCTTTTTTTTGAGACAGTCTCAAGCTATTGCCCTGAGTAGAGTGCTGTGGCGTCACAGCTCACAGCAACTTCCAACTCCTGGGCTTAAGCCATTCTCTTGCCTCAGTCTCCCAAGTAGCTGGGACTTTAGGCGCCCACCACAATGCCCGGCTATTTTTTGGTTGTAGTTGACATTGTTTGGCAGGCCCAGGCTGGATTCGAACCCGCCAGCTCTGGTGTATGTGGCTGGCACCTTAGCTGCTTAAGCCACAGGCGCCAAGCCCCCATGTGCATTTTCCCAGTGCATTGGGGGCCCCCGGGCCTTTTGTTCCTGGCAGTGAACCAGCTTCCCAGAGAAGAGCCCACCTGGGCTCCAGGAGGGTTAGTCACGGGCATTGTGCTCACAGGGCCTGGCCACTGTGGCTGCAGGGACCAGGGTGGGGAATCCCCATCCTGGGCTGAGTTTCTCTGCATTTTTTCATCCCCGCAGGGTTCGAGAGGCCGCTATGACCAGTCTGATGGATCTGACACTTCTTCTGGGACGGAGCCAGCCTGAGCTGATTGAGGCCCACATGTGAGTGTCCCACGGCATAGGTGTGCCCTCTAGCCCAGGAGGGGCAGCTGTGCACTTGCTGATCTGGGAAGGTGGGCTAGCACTCAGTGGGGCTTGTGCCCACTGCCCCAGTGAGCCTCTCAGGCTCCTTACCCCCTGCTCATGCCCTTCCTCCTGCCCCTAGGCCCGGGCCATACTCCCTGTGCAGTGCTCAGGGCTAGGGCAGGGGTGGCCTCTCTCTGTGGGGTCTGGGCATCTGAGGGTCTGACCCTGCTGGGACAGGCTGAGCTGTCACTTACTTAGTTCCCTGGCCCTAGGGCTGCCTTTAGGTGCCACCCCTGCTTGGTCTCCCTGGCCCTGCTGCAAGGGACACTTGCTCTGTGGGGATTCCTGGCCCTGTTTCCTCAGGACTTCTTTCTTCCCCATGTCACCCTTTCTTTCCTGCCCATTTCTTCCCTCTGCCTAGCTCCGTCTTCCTCCTTACCACCCTCTGCCCCCACTCCAGTCCCACTTGGCAGTCCTGCTTCTCCCCAGAGACTCCACTGATGTGTATTTAACATGAGTTTGTCGTACACCTGCTGGGTCAGGCTTCTGGAATGTCAGGTGTGTGGGATGTGGTCCTCTAGGGCCCAACGCCCTGTCAGCTGTGGACTCTGCTACCCTACTTGAATTCATGGTAGTGACAGGCTGATGGTGCTGAGGTGACTGTGTGTCCTGTGTTTGGGCTGAACCGTCAGTTCCAACTATGTGCCCCTGGTTTGCAGCTGCGAGCAGGTCATGTGCCACGTAGCCCAGCAGGCGAGTGAGAAGATTGACAGGCTCCGCGCTCACGCTGCCAGCGTGTTCCTGACACTCCTGCACCAGGACAGTCCCCCTGTCCCCCATATACCCTACCGCAGAGAGCTGGAGCAGCTCCTCCCCAGGTGTGTCCACATGTGACCTCCGCATGCCTCTCCCCTCTGGCCATGGTGAGTGTGTAGGTAACTTGCGTGTTTACTTTCTCCCTCAGGTCTGACATCACCTCTGTAAGCTGGAATGTACCATCCCAGGCCTTCCCTCGCATCACCCAGCTCCTGCGGCTGCCCACCTACCGTTACCACGTCCTGTTGGGGCTGGTCGTGTCTGTGGGTGGCTTGACAGAGTCAACGGTAAGTGAGCCCGGCCCGGGAGCCCACGGGGCTGGGCTCTGGGGAGCATCTGGCTTGGGCCTGAGTGGCTGGTAGTACATTGAATCTGTTGGAGGCAGAATCAGCATCTGCAGTGGGCTCAATGGGGGACTAGGAGGTGGGTGGGGGTCTCTGCTTCACTGCCAAGGTGTGACTGGGTTCTTCTGCCTTTTGGGGACTTGCAACAAGACCTGTACCTCGAGCTGCCTTTGTGTTCATGTGGAGCCCTGGGCATCTGGGAGGCATACAAGTTACTTCTACTGTAGTGGGAGTGGTTAATTTTTCTTAAACTTGCTCTTTGGAAGATTCTGACAAAGGCCCACACCCATAGGGCATCACAGTGACCTTATATGTGCCCGGTGTGTGTGTGTGTCCTGCCACATGACATAGTGGCTGTACACACTGGGATTTGGGGGAGGAGGGGTATTTTAAAGTTCATTCCAGAAGTTGTATGATTTGTCCTGTTGGTGCTTCCTGTGTCTTTACAGGCTTTCCTAAAGTCTGACCACAGCACTCGGACCATACTTGGGTCTCTTTGGTCGTGTCAAGTCTGAGTCAGAACCAGATTGGGTCCCTGGCTTCGCCCAGCCAGCATGCCCGGGCTCTGATATTGTTTGACTCCCAGCTCCTCCTACTAGCTTCTCATGCCATTTGTTTTTTAAGAACTCTGCTTGTTTGGCCTGTGTGTGTCCTGCCTTCTGGAGGTGGCTGGTGCTTTGCTGTGTCCACCACCTGTTTCCTGTGAGCTACCACCTTTGCTTAGTGGCTGGTCAGGGGCTTCCTGGGCTAACTTTGATCTGGTCCCCGCAACCATCTCTCCTCTTTGCCTTCCGTCCTGTGGTGGCAGAGCTGATGGGCAGCCCTGTGCTTGTGGATTTCTGTCTTTGCTCAGAGGGACGGTGGCCCTCCACTTGGGGCTGGGTGCCCACAGGGTCCAGTCCTTCAGGGGCCATCTCTGAGCCCACACGCAGGAGCAGCCTCAGCCTCCAGGGTGCTAGGCACAGCCCTGGGTTGGGGGTGTCTTTGGTACCTGGAGCCCAGGTTGAGCCAAGCAGCTCCAGGGTCTCCTCATGACTTGTCACTCTCGGCATCTGCATCTTGGGCTAACCTCACAGGGCAGCCCAGCAGCAATAGCTATGTTGGCTCACATGGGACAGCCTGTAAGAACTCAGGTTGTAGGCAGCGCTGCTGCTTTGGGTGTTAGCCCTATGGGAAGCTCAGCGCTGCCTCCACCTTCACTGAAGATCTCTCATCTGTAGTTTAAGGTCCTCTCAGCTCTCAACAAGATGTTTGGGGGGCGGTGAAGGTGGGTCCTAGCCTCATACGGCTACATCACCCTGCAGGTCAGGCACTCCACCCAGAGCCTCCTTGGGTACATGAAGGGGATCCAGAGTGACCCACAGGCCCTGGAGGGCTTCAGCAGGACCCTCCTACAAGTCTTTGAGGACAACCTTCTCAACGACAGGTGAGTGGCCTTGGCTGGGGCTGTGCCTCCTGGGTCTGCAGGGTGGGTCTTCCAGCCCTGGCCCTACCTTGGCCAGAGAAATGACCCAATGACCAGTGCAAGTGGAGTAGAACAATGCCTGTCTATGGGAGGGCAGTAGGATTCCCCTGGGGACATGTATACTGACAGACACCACAGTATTGGGGAAAGTGATAAATAGGATCTATTTTCTAAAGTTTTTGGTTCTGGCTCTTTGGGTAACTGCTTTTACATAGAGATGAGACCCTGTGAGCCTCCGCCTCTGAACCAGGCGCCCCCTCCCACAACAGAGTGGCTTATTCCTGGCACACACGTGAGTGGATGAAGCTTTGGGCAAGGTGCCCTCACCTGGGGCCCTGTCAGCATCTTGCCTTGGGATGTACAGAGCAAACGCAAACTCAGCCCTACTGTGCCTGCAGCCCCAGCTACCGGGAGCTGAGGCTTGAGGATGCTGAACCTGGGAGCTGGAGGCTGCAGGAGCTGCAATGGTGCCATTGCCCTCCAGCCTGGGTGACAGAGTCTCTGTCTTAAAAAAAATTGCAGCTGCATAGCTTTATTTTGGACTCTTTTCTATTGCCTTGATATATTTTCTTATCTTTGTACCAGAACCACATTGTTTTGGACACTTTAGCTTAACTATATTTATTTAGTTTTAGGTTGATATGAGGAGGACACAGACCATAAGGTTGTGTAACTTACACATGGAAGCCTAAAGTCTGACTTCTGGTTCTCTCCCACAACCAAAGTGCCCATGTGAACATGTGACCTTGTGTCAGACCTACAGGAAGCTACCGAGCATCTGCCCTGCCCCCTTGTTTAATTTGAGATTTTCTTTCATGTGGGTCTGTGATTGTTCATCTCCTAGTTTCAAATTCATTTTTGAGCATATGTGATGCTTGTTTTTCCAATCTTATGATATTTATTTAGGAGAATGTTCTCCAGATCCATCCAGGTTTGTTACCAAGGATGTAATATTTCTGTCTTTCTTTAGTGCTGAATAGTCCTTGGCACGTGGACCACAGCTTATTATTCCGCTCGTGCATGAGGAGCATTGGGGTTGTTTGCACATCTTTGTGATAGTGAACTGAACTGCTGTGTACCATGTTTTATTTCTTAATTATTTATTTTTGAGACAGTGTCTCACTCTGGGTAGAATGCCGTGATATCACAGCTCACACCAACCTCAAACTCTTGCTCAAGTGATTCTTTTGCCTCAGCCTTCCAAGTAGCTGGGACTACAGGTGCCTGCTACAGCACCCAGCTATTTTTAGAGATGAGGTCTTGCTCTTGCTTAGGTTGATCTGGAATTCCTGAGCTCAAGCAATCCACCTGCGTCAGCTTCCCAGAGTGCTTAGACTGCAGGCTTGACCACTGCACCCAGCCATGGGCAATGAAATTTAAAATAAAGATGAATTCAAAGACTTGATGGCTCAGGGTGAGAGAGGCCTGAGATCAGCTTACAACATTTCCTCCTGCCTCCCAGAGTGCTAGGATTACAGGTTGTGAGCTGTTGTGGCTGGCTTTACCATGATGTTTTAATTGAGTGCTGTTAGCCTCCTGCTCTGCTCCTCTTTCCATGGTGTTTTGTCTTTTCCTGATCTGTTGCATTTCCACATAAATTATAAAATTGGTTTGTCAGTTTCTGTAGCCTGTTGTGCCAGGGTTTTGGTCAGGATTGTGCTGGCCAGAGCTCGCGTCAGGTACCTGCGTCTCATGTTCCTTCTCCCCAGGGTGTCTGTGCCGCTGCTGAGGACGCTGGACAAGATGCTCGCCGATGGCTGCTTCGAGGCCTTTGCAGCGGAGGAGGAGTGAGGCTCTGCTTATTCATTGCTGCTTTTCTGGTTAATCCTAAGTATCTCACACTTTAAAGAAAAAGTAATCCCACCCAGGCATGAGAATCTCGGGGAGAATTCCCAGGGTGTTCAGAGTCAATTCTTGCGCATGTTGTCAATCCCAACAAGGCAGGAGGGCAACCCCAGCAGATGGGTGGGCCCCAGGGGCTGCTGTGGGGCCTGTTCTAGTAGCTGCTACAGCCCCAAAGGGCCTGGGCTGGACAAGTCTAGGAACAGTGGCACATTGCAGGGACAGGGCTGGGATGTATGTGCTTCCTCAGCTTCTTGGTCAGCTGTGGCTGCCTTGGAGATATTGTGTGACTGCCCTATTGTGGTACTGGGTGTCCTTGGTGATTGGTTAAGGGTCCTGAAGCTATTGCTTCTAACCTGTTAGGTGGGTTGACTGTCCCCCATGCAAGGTCTCTGCTCAGTGCTGGGCTTTCTGGTGGCTCCTCCCCATCCTCAGCAGAGTCCCTGTACTCAGGTGCTGATTGGGAGGCCCAGGGACACCCCACTGCTACCCCCACCCCACAGGCCTCCAGAACTTCTTCAGGAGCCTCCTGTCTAGGCTCTGTGACTCTGTCTTTAGCAGGTGCTGTGGAAGCCTTTTAACCTCTCAGCACCCAGGGATTTACCCTTGTAGTTTGCAAATATGTCACTGGCCAATTGCCTACACTGATCTCAGGATGCTGGGGGAGGGGGGACAGGGTCCATTAAGATCTGTGGATCTGGCAGCTACTGAATGAAGAAAAATAGACACTACAAAAGACAAGAGATGAGACAACACAGAATTTTCAAAGGTTGAGAACACAGGGGACCACTGCCCGTTTGTCGGGTTCTGACAGTGGTCCCAAGTGTCAGTTCCACTCAGCTTTTATTGAGGGTTATTTGCTGATTAGCCCAGAGGGTAAGTTGAGGAAGGGAATAAAGATGCTGGCAGTTTCTCTGAGTGAGCATATTAGCTCCTGTTGTTTTTATAATCATTAACTTTTAAGGGTCTGAGCAGCCTTGAAAAATCCAGAACCTGAGCCTTGTGTGGGGGCAGCCTCCTGTCTGTGGTCACACACACAGATTCCTAAGGGGGTGTTAATACCTGCTAGTTCACTGCAGAGGAAAACACCACTGGTGTCAATCTCCTCTCAAGAATGGGTTGGAAATTTTCCTTTCATCACCATTATAGGGTCTTCCTTTGTGATGAGGGATATAAGCCCTTCTACCCATATTTCAGGGCTTGAGCTGTTCCCTTGATTTCTGCCCCAACCAAATACAAATCTCCACAATGGGTATTTTGACTGTTAACTGGGCTAGGGACTGCCTAGTTAATGTTTCTTGCTAGGCCTTGTATACAGCTTCCTCTGTGGCCCTTATTCTTCAGAGTGTTTACAGACCCAACAGTGGTGATCACAAGCTGTATTCCCTAACAGGCCAGCCTTCTAGAAAAAGCAGGAAACTTGCTCAGATAAGAAATTTAGCGGCCACTGGTTTAAAGGTAAACTAGCTGACTTTTCTTTGTTCTGCCTCACTCAGCTTACCTTTTTATTTTTATTTTTTATTTTTCTGGGGGTGTTTTCCTCTGCCAAGAATGAGGTCTTTGGTCCTCATTTGCCTGCATCAGGATGCATGAGCCCAACATGGCTGTGGGCCATTATCCTTTGATGCTTATTACAGGATTTGGTTTGCCAAAAGATTCTGTTTAAATTCTTAATATGTACTTTTTAGGCTTAAGAATTTCAAAACAAGATGATGTGGGAACATCTGCTACTAATATAATTCTTATTTCTTTTGACAACTCTGTCAATTTTTACTTTGTGGACTTTGAAGTATATTTTTGGTACATGTAAGTTTAGGGTTGAATCTTATACTAAGTGACCTTTTTCATTGTAGGGATGCATTCTATTCTTTTACTTTCAATATTTTCATACATTTGTGTGTGTCTCTTATAAACATGATAGTTTTGTAAAAATCTAGCCTGACAATGTTTATCTTTAACTGTGTCCTTTAGTCTCTTACATTTGCTCTCCTTGTCTTCAGCCTGTGCTGGGGCACAGCTGCCTCCCCCTTCCTCCCTGTGCTTTCACTTTGATTAATAGAATAATTTTTATTGTTCCATTTGTCCCATATTTGTTTGGGACTTTTCACTCTTTTCTCTATGGTGACCCTAGCAATCACCCCACATATCCCTGACTTTACAAAAGTCTAATTTTTGATATTTTGTCCTCCTTAGGCAGCACCAAGGATATTGGGTGTGCGGTCCCTGCTCTGTGGACCCTCCCTCTGCACCTTTCTTGTCCCTCTCACCACTGCATCCACTGGGTCCCTCTACCCTTAGAACATCCTTGGGAACGCCTAGAATACTCAGTGCGTGTAGAGTTATGCTGCATTTTAGCACATCTCTGACCCCCGCTGCACCCTGCCAGCTGCACGCTCCTCCCCTTAGGCCACTTCTACCCTCTTTGCCTGCCAGCTCTTAGAATGTCTCTGAACTGCTGTTAGGTTTCTTTGTGGAGTTCTCTTTTCTGGGGTTTCTGTGTCTCTTAGGTATAGGTTTTTTATTTGGTTTGTTTCACATTGCTGCACTCATGCAGCCTTTGCAGTCCAGCTCTCACCCTCCTGAGCACAGGCCTCCTGGTCGTCTCTCTGGGGTGTCTGGTTCAGTGTCCTCGGGGGCTTGGTGAGGTGGTGGGCACCATGTGCTTTCTTTGCTTCTCTTACTGTCTGGACGCTGTATTAAGGATTCCAGGTCCGGCTTGGCGCCTGTGGCTAAAGTGGCTAAGGCGCCAGCCACATACACCTAAGGTGGCGGGTTCGAATCCAGCCCAGGCCCACCAAAACAACAATGACGGTTGCAACCAAAAAACAGCCAGGCGCTGTGGCGGGCGCCTGTGGTCCCAGCTACTTGGGAGGCTGAGGCAGGAGACTCGCTTGAGTCCAGGAGTTGGAGGTTGCTGTGAGCTGTGATGTCACAGCACTCTACCCAGGGGGACAGATTGAGGCTCTGTCTCAAAAAAAAGAATTCCAGGTCAGATCACCCAGAGTGGGGCAGTGTGTACGTACACTGTGGACAGGACTTCCGTTTGCCCTTTTGGGGATCCTGACAGCAGCAGCATCAAGGGTTGCCCTGACCCTCATCAGCCCTGAGGGTCTTTGGGATGCAGATGTGCCCTCTCTCCCTCTGTCCCTGGGGCGCAATCTGCCCAGGGCTGGTACAGAGTGTGTGGGGTCTGCATCTTCCAGCACCAAGACTCAGTTCTTATCCCTGCTGCCACTGAGGGCTCAGGACATGCTCTGGCCTCCAGGGCCCTCCATAGGGTTTGTGAACCCACCTGACCTAAAGCACTGCCTGGTGCAGTCACTGCCTAGGGGCAGCAGTGCCCTGCTATGCTAAGAATGGGCTCTAGGGACAAGGGTATGGAGGGTGCAAAGTAGGGAGCCCACAGTGGCTTCCCTGGGACAGAAATGGGTTGGGCAGGGCCAGGTCCACTGAGGTCCTCTTTGGAGATGCTCTCTCAATCCTGTGCAGAGGCCACCAGGGCACAGGCATGGACAAGGTGGTCAGGGAATTGGGTATGGACCTGGAAGGGCCCAGAAGTATGTGGGTGGCAGGGATGGGAAAGCCTTAAAGCTGCAGGGGCAGCTTGAGTCAGGACAAGCTGAGGACCAGAGAGACCATAGGACTCAGCCTGTGATGGTCACTTTGTCCCCAGCGTGCATTTCAATGACCTGGGGGGAGAGAGATACCCTACATGGACACCTCAGAGGGGCAGTGAGGACCTGGGACCCCATGGTGGGAATGGCTGGGACCTTGGCACCAGTGGGCAGGTTCAAGGCTGCTGGCCTGCTGCTCTATTGAGGGCCCATGAGTATTTTCCTGGGACTGTTTTCAGGCTGGGAGCTGTCGTCACGAACTGGCCCTGAAATGGTAGTGTCCAACGTGATGGGTCACCAGCCTGTGTGTGTGTTGGGGGGAGGGACAGAAGCTGTCCTCCATGCCTTTGACTCCTGGACTGGTGTGTACCCTGCAGGGTCACACAGTGCTGGCTAGGTCAGGTTCTCTTCCACTGGGGCCAGTCATTTAGGCATGTGTGGTCTTGCTGTCACTGCACCAGGGTCAACCTGCATGTGTAGGACGCTGTGGGTGCCAGGTACACAGGGTGGATCCTCTCTCCCCTCTGCTGGGGTGGTGGTGGTGAAGGAGGCAGGCTCCATGTTAGTGGGGGGCTGGCCCTCTGGTCACTTAGTGCCACCACAGCCTGTGTCATGTGAGTCCATGTCTCTCTGAAGCTCGTCCCTAGAGCACCGTGTTCTCCTTCTAGCCACCCCTTCTGTGTGAAGCTGCTTGCACTCTGTAAAGAAGAAATCAAGAAGTCGAAGGACACCCAGAAGCTGCAGTCTAGCGTCGCTGTGTGAGTTCTCAGCACCATCAGGTTTGCCAGGAGCAGGAGGCTGTGGGCACAGAGCCGGCAGCCAAGGTCATTTCCCATAAAGCTGTCCAGAGGCCTGGTGCCTCTGTCTACCTGAAACGGTCTAAGCAGGGCAGCCCCAGCAAGGCTGGCTGAGCAGTGGCCACTGTCCCTGCACTGCTGTTACCTTGGATGGGGGGAGGCCCACAGCAGCCCCCAGGGAGCAGGAGGCGCAGTCCCTTTGGAGTACGTGCATGATCAGCCCCGATTCCCCAGGATACTATGGAACAGGAGCCTGGTGTCTATACACCTTGGTCTTCAGGGCTTAGGTGGATGCTCAGCCACATTTCCCCCTGCTCTGCAGACCCCGAGTTGTCTTGGGGACTTAAGTCTGGGGCAAAGGGTGTGACAGGTGTGGTTTCTGCAGGTTCTGTGGTATGGTGCAGTTCCGTGGCCACACGAGGAGGCAGGCCCTGCTGCAGCTGTGTCTGTTGCTGTGCCACCGGTTCCCCCTGGTGAGTCCCCAGGGGCCTCTCCTGGTGAACAGAACCCACTTCTAAGTTGGTCTCCACAGAAATGTCACGTGGGCATATCTAAGTCAGATCTGGATACTGAGGCAGGGCAGGACTTTGGTTTACTTGTAAACTTGGAGCAGCCGGCTCTGGCACTGGACAGGGAGGGGCCTCTGCATCCTATGGGCCCTGCTCTTGGGGGCCTGTGCCCTCCACTCCCTCTCCCTGCAGGGTTAAGTTTCTGGGATCTCTCTCTGGCTGGAGAAAATCTCTTGTGATCCAAACGTGAAATTTCCCTAAAAAGTAAAGATAACTTACATATCATAAAGCGGCTCTCAAAGTGTGGGGCTAGACCCATACAGCCCTCAGAGAGGTCAGCAGTGCAGGTTCTTGGATAGGTTCTGTGGACTAAGGACCTCTAGGTGTGGGTCTGGAGGCTTCTGAGACCACCAGACACAACTAGGGAAGAAAGCAGGTTAGAGAGAGCTACTCCCATAGAAGCATGTTTTGAAAGCAGTGTTTAAGAAAGACCAGCAGACCTCGGCTGTGGAGGGTGGTGACAGTTATGGAGGGTGGTGACGGGTCAACCAGGGCACACACGCCCCCTGCCCACCATCCTGTCCTGAAATCTCTGTGGGATAAGGCAGTGGTGGTTCTCTCCTGCTAATGCTCTATCCCCATGCCAGATCCGGAAAGCCACAGCCAGCCAGGTGTATGAGATGGTGCTGACCTACAGTGATGTCGTGGATGCCGATGTTCTAGACCAGGTCCTGGCCGTGCTCAGTGACACAGCCTGGTGAGTGTGCCCCTCCCCCTAAAGGTAGCCTCACACCATAGCCTCCCATCTCCAGGGCCATCTGTCTCTTCCAAAACCCTTTGGAGGGAAGAAATTCCCATCCTGGCAGCCTTAGCTTTGCCCATTACAAGGCAGCAGCATCTGATCAAGAGGGGTTGGGAGGAGCATGGGTGGTAGTTGTGCTGTGCACACACACACATCTGTGCACACAGGCACGTGCTCACACGTCTGCATATATGCTCAGACACGTCTGCATATATGCTCAGACACATCTATACACACATTTCCACAGGGAAGCAGTCTTGTCACCCTGTTTGAGAGATAATGATCAAAACTTGGGGTGGGGGGGTCATGCCAGTATTCAAATGGCATGTCCAGGGTGAGTGGTGTCCCCACATGGAGCATCCCTGCTGACCACAGAGCCTTGGTTCCAGCTCTGCTGGGCCAATCACCATGCCCTAAGTAGGGGAGAATAGTGACCTTCCTGGATGGCTGGCTGTAGGACTGAGGCCAGCAGGACAGAGGTGGTCTGGCCTCAAGGCTTCATTGTGGCTTTCCTGTCTCTGGAGGAGCGGACAGCTTTCTCTTAATGTTCCTCAGCAGAAGCAGCTGTCTCTGGGGAGCAGCTGGGCCAGCCTGCTAGTATCCAAGAGACAGTGCCACTTAAGACACACTTTATTATTATGTTTTAAACTTTTAAACCACCAAGGCACATTCTGGATAGATTCTAAAATCATTAGCTTTCGGACAGGGAAAAAAAGGGTATCCAGAGTCTGCGCAGCCTGAGCCCAACTGCCACCTCCCTCTTCTCAGATGGGAGGATGCAGGCATTGGCGGGGGGGGGGGGTCCCTTCCCCAGAATTTAATCCTCCTTAAAGAAAATCCCTAGAATTTAAAAATAACATTTTTTTATCACACACACAAAAAACATGCCCAATATTTTTCCATAGTGCTGCTAGATTTTTCAGTGAGAGTAGTGAATAAAACTTTAAACACCCTGTAGCTCTTCCTCTCCATTTCCTCCTTTCACAGCCCTGGGTTGGCCTCGGGTCCTCCCCTGAGGTGCTCAGATGGGCTGGACTCATGTGGAAATTCTCTTCTGTCCTCGTGCCTTAACATGGTTTGCGTGGGTGTACATTTCTGGGGTGGGGGTGCCTTTTCCCCAGTTTCCACTGATCCAAGGTGCTGTGTGTCTTTGCACATCAGACAAGTTTACTGAGACTTTCAGGTCAGTGTGATACACTTCAAGGTTCCATGTGGTTCTCAGGTCTCATAGCTTCCTCCTCTCTCAGGGAGTCGGAGCTCGCAGTGGTGAGAACACAGCGGAATCGCCTGTGTGACCTCTTGTGTGTGCCTCAGCCTCAGCTGGTGCCCAAGGTAAGCCCGCACCACCTGCATCGTGGGACAGGTGGCACCCAGTGCCCATTGCCCTGAGCTCTGTGATTTAGAATGTTCTGGGTCACTCCATCATGCCTAGCACAGCACACCCTGATGGCAGCAACCAGCCTTCCAGGGCCCCTGAGGGTCAATTGCACTGGTAGGACTGCCTCTGAGTCCTGCCCATGTCTGCAGCCCCAGACTGAATCCACTCCCTCTGGGCGTGTTCTGGGGACAGTGGGCTAGTGTGGCCATGAGTTTGTTCACGTTCCAAGGGCCACACCCACAAGTAGGACCAGGGCTGGGTGCAGAGACCCCAGAAGCTTCCCCATTCCCTGACCAGATCTTCAGAGCTGCCGTTCCTTACAAAATAGGGAAAACAAGTGTGTGGGGTCTTACAGGCTTTGAGAACCAAGAGTGCCCTATTGTGTTCTCGAGCCCTTTCTGCTATTCCCAGGCTGCCCCTGCCAGACTCATGGTCCCACCAGGAGTGCCTTCCCTCCCTCCACATGCTAGGTTGTCTGTGTTCTATTTCTGTCTATGGCACAGGCCTTGTGTTGTTGCTGTGGGCCTCAGCCCCACGCCCCTTTGGTTCTTTGCTTCCACCACTGCCTCCCAGGACCTGCTGACTCTGCACTGATGCTGCCTTGATGCTCATTCTTGGTGTTTTCCAGGGCCTGAGCCATGTCTGTTGAAGCTGAAGTTTCTGAGATCTTGGTGCCCGAGCACTGCCCAGGTTCTGTTGTCACAGAAGGTTCAGAGTAAGCCACATGTGGCAGGCAGAGGGTCCTGTGCGCTGAGTCCTCACTACTGGCTCAGGAAGCACACGTACTCTTGTATTTCGCAGCTGTGTCTCTGGGGAGACTCTCTTGACTTTTCTTATTGAAGAACATGGGAAAGAGGCTGCTCTGTCCTGGGGCCCAGTTCCCCTAGCCAGGAGCCAGTGTGAGCCCCCTGCATGGGCAGGGCTGCTGCTGTAGAACCTACTGATGAGCAGGTTTCCCAGGTGACTTTGCCATGAAATCCCCCCTGCAGCACCTGTGGGCCCCGTAGGCTGTGCCCATCTCCACTGCGGCTGTTCATGGGACAGCACTGATCTGTCTTGCGTTTCCCTGATGAAAGATGAGCCCAGACACCATGTTACATGCAGTCTGACCATTCTCTTCTGGTCAGTCCTATCCCGACCTGCTGCTGTTTTCTCCAGGTTATCTGTTCTTTCACACTCTATTTGTAAGGGCTTTCTACATACTCTGGATACAACAGACATCCACTCTAGGAGCACTAGTTCTTCCTCAGAGCTAATATGTTTCAACTTAACTGTTTTTCCCCTTCTAGTTTCACGATTCCTGTTTAAGATACATTTGCCTACCCTGAGGCTACATTAATAGTCTCCTGGTTTTCCTGAAAACTTAGTTTTACCTTTTACACTGAAATTCACAATCCACCTGGAATCAAGCCTCGTATCTGTGGGGAGAACCCAGCTCCATGCAGCCCTGTGCCTGTCACAGATGTGCGCACTGGCTGTGGACTGGGTTCTACTGGCTTTTCTGCCATCCGTAAGCCAGTGTGAGTCTGACAGACATGTGTGGGGCTCATGGTAGTGGTTTATATTTTTCAAAATTGTTTTGACTCTTCTTTGCCGTTTGGGTTTCCATAAAACTTTCAGAATCAATTTGTTGTTTTGCACGATAATACCTGCTGGGAGCTTGAGGGAGATCAGAGCCCACATGTACATCTGGAGAGAACTCTGAGATTCTGTGTCTTCTGCATCTGCAATTTGGGAATGGCCTGGTGTTTTATAGTTTTAACACAGATTTTGCACACCTTTCTATAATTGTCATACAGTTGTTGGATAATTTTGTTTATTTTTCTTTTGTTCTTTGTCATCTTTCCCTTTCAGTTTGGGAAGTTTCTGTCCACCTGTCTTCGCTCCTGCTTCTTGGACCCCCATAGCATCATCGCTGCACGCCCTTGTCAGCCTTTAGCTCATCAGCTACGCTGTGTTAAATGCAGTCTGTTCTGATGCTTGGCCTCTGTTGGCTGTGCTTGTTCTTGGCACGTCTTCTATGTTTTTGTTGAGAGCCAGACATGTTGTATTGAGTCCCAAATGGGCCTTTGATATAAGGGGCTGGGTTTTCTGGCTGGAGTTGCTGTGTCGAACGTCTGCAGCAGCCACAGGGTCTAGAGGCTTCAGGATCTTCAGTTCCTAGTCTTGTTTCCCTGACCTTTGACTCCCTGTATTTTCGCTGAGTCCTACAGCTGGAATTGTGGTGGCTGTGCTGGGGGTGGAGGGAGTACTGCTCTCTGGGCTGCTCTTCCCTGCGCTGGGGACAGCTCTGTCACATCCTCCCAGCTGGATCAGCCCCTGGGAGGACAAGGCACAGCTATGGTTCACAGGGGTAGAGGGGCCTTCAGGTCTTCCTGGCAGGTCCCTAAAGGAAAAGCACAGGAGGCTGGTGCACTTGGCCTCCAGGGTGCAGCAGGCTGTCCTCCTAAGGCTGGTCTTGAACTGATCGCTGCTCTCCCTGGTTTCGTGGTTGAGAATGAGTCTTCTGACGAGTCAAAGAAAAGTCACTGATTTTCATTTGTGCAGCATTTTTTAAGGTTGCTTTGTGCTTTGAAGTCTGATATTAATACAGCTGCACTGGGTTTTTTTGGTGTTTTGTATCATTTTATCTTCCCTCATTTTACTTTCAGCTTCTACCTCTTCTCACATTTAAATGGATCTCATATGAACACCATGTAGTCAGGTCTTTTTGTGATGCAGTGAAATAGTTTTTCTGGTTGGAGTGTTCTGGATTTAGTTTTAGTGCAATTTCTGACATGGACATGCTCTACCACCTGTTTCCTTGGGACTTCCCTATTTGGTAACCTTACCCCTCTTGGCTTCACCTGGATGGAAGCGTCCGTTTCACCCCCTTGGCTAACCTCCTCAGTTTTCCTTCTACTCGTCCTGATGCTGCCTGCCCTACTCTTGGTTTATTAGACAGGAAGAATCTTGGCACAGCTAGGTGCTGTCCTGGGCACTGTTGGGATTTAACAGACACTCTTGACCTGCCTCTGTTCCGTGTCTTCTCAGCCATCTCCACCTCTTTCCCGACTGTCCTGCCTTCTGTACTTAGGAAACTTGTGCATTTCCCTTCTTTCTGCATCTTCCCTTCTGGTGTTGGACTGGCTGTGCCGGTGGCTTGCTCCCCTCACAGGAACTGCATCCAGATAAGCAGGGTGGTGGGCACTGATTTCATCACCCCCACCCCCACCACCACAAGTGACACCTTGGGCTGAGGACAGGCTCAGCATCCTGACGAGGCCTTGCTTCTTTGGGTTCTTGTAAAGGCTGAACTCAACATCAGGCTTCTGAATTAAACGTGCTTTTTATATTTTTATTAGTGAAGCTTTCCAAACACACACGAATGAAGTTAGACACTATGCTAAATCTCCCCTCCCACTGCCTATGTGTGGCTCAGCACTTGATGGTGCCCTTTTTATTTTTTTTGCAGTTTTTGGCTGGGGCTGGGTTTGAACCTGCCACCTCCGGCATATGGGGCTGGTGCCCTACTCCTTTGAGTCACAGGCACCACCCTTTTCAGGCTAAGCTCATATTAGCCATGGGCACTGTGGCCTCAGGCTCCAGGGCAGTGGCACACGCCCTCACACAGGGACTGCAAATTGGATGGGGTGACAGTGCTGGCCAGGCTGACATTCCTTATCCTGTCTCTTCTGCAGCCGACCAACTGCTGAAGCCTGCCCTGGCAGCCGGACACTGATGGCAACACGGGAACCCTAGTTAATACAGGCTGGTGTGTGCTATGCCATCCAGCCCAAGCTGGGACTCCAGCCCTTGTGGACACCATCAAGTTCTACGAGGGTCTGCCAGACCGATCTGGATCTCTGGTGATGTCATAGATGAGAACAGGATTGAGTTCCTTCTCAGATGTTCCACGCTTGTTGATTTCAAACCTGGTGACAAGAGCTCACACTTAAGACATCTCATGGCTGTTAGAATAAGATCTAACTTGTGCTGAAATAACTTGCTTGAGCTGTACACACAGTGTGAGTATCATATAAGAAAGAACAAAATGAAGTCAGTCAAATAAAGAGCCTTTCTAATCTGAGGCTGAATCATTCTTGTGACAGCTGCTCTGTGCATTGCAGAGTGTTCAGCAACATCCCTGATGCCAGCAGCTGTCTCAGCTGTGACAAAAAGTGTCTCCAAAGGTCAGTACTCTGGGAGGCTGAGGCAAGTGGATCGCCTGAGCTCAGGAGTTTGAGACCAGCTTGAGCAAGAGTGAGACTTTGTCTCTACTAAAATAGACAACCCAGCCAGGCGTTGTGGTGGGCACCTCCCACCTACTTGGGAGGCTGAGGTAGGAGGATTGGCTGAGCCCAAGAGTTTGAGGTTGCTGTGACACCACGGCACTCTACCCAAGGTGACAGAATGAGATTCTCTCTCAAATGGGGCAAATTTGCCCTTATTTGAGAACCACCATTCTAGTATATAAAGGCAGAAGGAAAATGATCCCAGTTGGATAGTCTCAGATGTAAAGGAAAATGCTAAACAAAGAAAGCAATCACTGTGATCACATAAACAGAAAGAATAATGGCTTATATGTGATTTTTGTTTGTTTTTTGGAGACAGGGTCTCAGTCGCCTTGGGTAGAGTGCCATGACATTGTAGCTCATACAAACAGCAAACTCTTTGGGCTCAAGTGATCCTCTTGCCTCAGCCTCCTGGGTAGCTGAACTTACAGGTGCCTGTCACAACATCTAGCTACTTTTTAGAGATGGGGGGTAGGGGAGTGGGGGTGGTGTCTTGCTCAGGCTGGTCTTGAACTTGTGAGCTCAAGCAATCCTCCCACCTCGGCCTCCCAAAGTGCTGGGATTACAGGGGTGAGCCACTGGCCCAGCCCAATGTGTGTGTGTGTGTGTGTTTTAAAAGCATGTAGAATTAACACAGACAATAATAGCAGCATATAAATAAGGGTGGAGTTGGTGACTAGATTTAAAGCATCTCAAATCTGTGTGTTCTATTGGAATAGAGTGTAAATAATTTACTTATCAGCTTGGCCAAGTACGTGTGTTGAAAAATTTGGGGTCACAACCAAAAAAGTTAAATAGGGAAATTATAACTTCACTGGTAGAGGAGAAATGAAGTAAAAATACACTCAAAGAAGCCAGAACAGCATGGAAAAAAAGGACAAGCTGCAAGAAATAAATAAAAAATAAAAAAAATTAGAAATTAGCACACACAATATATGTAAGTGTATTCAATCCTCCAATAAATGGCAATTCCTCAGCTAATGGACAAAGATTAAACTAGATAAAAATACAGCTGTGTGGGGTGGTGCCTGTGGCTCAAAGGAGTAGGGCACCAGCCCCATGTGCCAGAGGTGGTGGGTTCAAGTCCAGCCCCGGCCAAAACGCAAAAAAAAAAAAAAAAAGATAGATAGATGGATGTGTGCATTTACAATTGGCATACCTAAAACAAAGTCATAGACGAAGTCAAGAAAAGACATATTAGTCACATACTTTCACTAAAAGCTAGGCCACAGTCATTAATATAGGAGGTACTTATGTTAGTATTTTTACAAATAGGGCAAATAGTGTTATTAGAGATCAAGATTAATATAGGGTGATTACAGAATTCAATGGGAAGTAGAGCTTTCATGCCCTTGTATATACTTTGTAACAGTCATAGAGTGTATGCTATTAAACATTTAAGAAATTAACCAATCTACCTCCATACTGTATTTTTTTGAAATTGATATCTGATGTTCATTAGTAAGAAATAGTTGAAAAATAAAAGCTTGACCTAGGAGACACAAGCAGAATGTAAAGAACAAATGCGTGTATTTTCAAACTTCGATAAAACAAGCTCTTATTTTTAAAAATACATGTTTTTTTTATCTCCAGATAAGGTCACATTTAAAAGAAAAACATAGCTTAAAAAGAAATTATAAAATATGTAATTAAAGTTAATGAGATACTGTTAATCACAGCAGATGGCATATGCCTACAGTGGTTACTTCTGGGATTCTGAAGTCCTGAATGTGCACATCATATATTTGAGAAGGCAAACTATTAACATACTGAACATAAGCAGTTAGACTAAAGAACATGTAATCACAAAAGTAGACTATGAGCACAATGAAAATGTTTAACAAACCCAAATGGTGCTTTGGAGAAAAGACGGCCAGGGTGGCTGCCCAGGTCCTCAGCTGAACAGCAGGAAGTCTCGGCCCTCCTGCAGGTGCAGCGACTGCAGGTTGTCCTCAAAGGCACCCCCCGTGAGGTCCTGTCGGGAGCAGAGGGTTTGGCTCAGGCCTCCCGTAGGGGCCAGGGTCACCTGTGTATACCTCTCAGGTGGTCTCCTGTGAATTCTGTGCCATTAAAACTAGATGCTTCTGTAAAGCAGCATGTTCCATGCAGAGGCTGGAGAGGACAGTGGCTGGGTCGCTCTAATCACAGGTCCTGCTGGTCACCGTGGGTGGGGGCAGAGGATTCTCTGAGCTGTCCCTAACACCGGGCCTGGGCCCTCACTCCAAAGGGATTTAAAACGAGACTCCTTTTTCAACCAGGGCACCCCTGCCCCCCTGGCAGGGTCCCTCAGAGTAGACCCTGTCCACTCCCCCGGGGCTTCTGTCACTCCCCAGCAGGGAAAGCCCAGAGAGGCAAGCAGGCTGGTGGCTCCCAGGCCCACCCCTTATCCAAGGCCCTGAAGACAGGCCCAGCACAGTGGGAGGACAGAGTTGTGGGCAGAGGGGACCATCTGGCTCCTTGGGCCAGGCTGTGTTCCCTTCCATCAGAACCATCACTCCTCTCCCCAGACAGCACCTTTTCCTGTTCTGTCTCTGCCCCCTTATCTCTGTGCTTCTAGAGTCTGCAAATGACACACCTGGGCTTGGGGCCAGCACAGCCCAGAGTCTGGCCCAGTGAGCCGTTAGACGAGACTCCATTTAGAGGAAATGTGCTTCTGTAGATCAGTGTATTTCATTAAGAGAATGAAAAGGTCAGCACAACATTTGCCAAACAAAACCAACCAGAACTGGGGAACATCCAGGAGCTGAGTGAGGAAAAGCCTACTGGGCGATGTCATGAGTAAATCCAAGTGTCCGAGAGATAAGGACAGCCTCAAGAACCTGGCATACCTTAAAACCACAGTGAGAGCTGGTGGGAACCAAGTGTGCCCAACCTAGAATCGGTGAGCCCACATGGCCTGGGCCCTGCCTCTTAGGTGTGTCACCGGTTAGCCACTTTGCCGCACAGTGCCCTGAGGCAGGCACATTTGGAAATGACCTAAACAGAGGTTGGCAAGTCATGGCCTGTGGGGCAGAGCTGGTCAGCTGGCCGCTGTTGCAGTCTCCCTGGGACACAGAAGATGTGCAGCTGCAAAGCCCACTGCGGGGAACCTGCCCGCTGAGCAACCTGTAGTCAAGTCAGCCTCCTGGGCACCTCATGCATGGCCAGTTAGAGTCAGAGAGTTTAGTTTTGAGAGTTTTTGTAGTCCATGTGCAAGCAACCAAGTGCTTATTCTTAGTCTGTGTGCACATGTGCTGTGAGTGTCCTATGCCCCACCCCCCCCCACCCCCGCCATCATGAATGCTGCCCAGTGGCCATGCCAGGCCCTGGGCCTGTGGGAGGTGGTTCCCACTTTGCTGCAGGACAATGCCATGGTGTCCTGTGGCCTAGCCACCATGTGTTGTCCTCTAGGCTTTGTGGTTGCATTTCTGGAGGACAGGCAGAGATTTAGCGCAATCGTCAGGGCCCTGGGTTCAGAGTGGTAAATGAGCACTGGCTTCAGCTTGGTCTCCAACTGCATCAGCCCTCAGAGGAGAGTCAGCCCATCCTTTGAGGCCAGGCGCTGACACTGACTTCTCTGCAGCTGTGGAAGGTCCATGTGGCATCTTCCACTAGAGGCTATTTACCTTGAAAATCTGATGTTTACTGTGACCCTGTTTACGGGAGATCTCAACTAGACTTTCCGGATAACTTGCTGTGGCTTCTCTCCCTTCCCCTTTATGTTACAGAGATGGGTCTTCCCTAAACCTCAGGAAATGGCCCCTGCAATGTCCTCCCCTCCTGCAGCCCTCACAGAACTGGAGTCACGGCCTTGTTCTGCATGAGGCCGTGGCTGGCTTGGTCCTCCATGCAGACCACTCAGATCTCTCCATGTCAGCAATAAGGCTGCTTTACATTCTTACCGCCCTGTGTTCACTGAGTGACACTTTTTAGTTTCTGTCAAGAGCTTTTCCTTTTTTTCCACAACTTGGTTGCTTGGCATAAGAGGCCCAGCTTTGGCTGGTGCCTTCCTCACTAAGTTTCATCATTTCTGGCTTTGATTTAAAGTGAGATTTGTGACTCTTCCTTCTCTTGAACACTTAAAAGGATACTGCAGGGTTACTGACTGGCCTAATTTCAATGTTGCTGGTTGGGGGAGAGATGGAGCAGCCAATCACGGAACAGTCAGAGCACACAGCACTTGTGGTCTGTGTCGCCTCTAATTAATTATGATAATAACATCAAGTAATCACAATAATAACCATAGGTCACTGTAACAGACAAGTAACAATGAGAAAATCTGAAATACCATGAGGACTAATTACTAAAACATGACATAGAGGCATGAAATGAGCACATGCTAATGGGGAAAGGGCACCAACAGACCTGCCTGATGCAGGGTTGACAATAACCTCCAATTTGTTAAAAACAAAATCTGTAGAGTGCAATAAAGTGAGGTCTGGTGCCTATAACTGCCAAAAATATTTGGGCCTGATTAGGGTTTGAAGGAGGTTACAGGGGCTACAGGGGGGAGGGAGAGAGTTATAGCCTCTGGACTGGCACATTGGAATCTACCCTGGAGAGAGTTAAGGAATTCTGGGGGGTATGACCCAGTGAGCCAAGTAGGCTGCTCCTGGAAATGCAGCTTCTAGCCTGATCTCTGATCTCTAGCCCCTGAATGATTCCCCCATAAAACAGACAAGGATGGGGGGGGGCACCAACACCATAAGACATGCAGATACCACCACATGGCCCCTAGCACAATAACAGTGATTACTGACACAGAGTAAAGGAAACTGGATTTCTGGGACAAGAGAATTACCTATAGCCAGTGATACCAGGACGGCCTGAGGGGTGCCCCTGGGGATGCTGACAGGTGTGTGTGTGTGGGGGGCAGTGCTCACAGTTGCACGGCCTTTGTGTGCATCTCCTCTCATGAGTAAGGGGGACCCTCTTCCACTCTCCTAGAAAAACCTGTGTTTATCTCCCTTTCACCTTCAATAAAACGCACCCTTTACTTGGAGTAGACCCTTCTATCTTGCTATCTTGGAGCCCCCCGAGTCTTGTCTCTCCTCCCCAGCTCCTTGCTCTCTTTGACTCAGCTGAACTTGCTAGTTCTGATGCACGACCCCAACCTAGTTCACTGAGCAGTGCAGAGGGGAGTTCTTGCCGCTAACAGTGCCACAAAGTTTTATTTTAGTTTTGACTGTTTCCCAGCTTAGGCCTGTATTAGTTACCTATTGCTGTGTAACAAGTCACCACAAACTGAGCTGCCCTACTCAACACACAGATCTTTCTTGGTTTCTGTGGAGTGGGAACCCGAACCCAGCCCTGGCCAGGATATGGGTGCTGCCTGTATCTACCCATTAACCCCGACCCAACACATTTTAGGGCTTGCACATGTGTGGCTGCTGCCCCTCTCAGAGAACCCTGTGTGCCCCATCCCTCCCCACCCCTGTTCACCGCTTCAGTGGGACTGGCAGGGCAGTGGCCTCCATCCCTGGGAGCAGAATGGGAACCACAGGCAAGGCCCCGGGTCAGGCACTGTGGGAGAGGCTGTGCTTTGTATCTACTTTGCAGATGTCTGGAATTTTCCATGACAAAAAGATTTCAAAAAGAAAATCTTAAACCAGGAACAAAGAGGTAGTTCCTTCACTTAATAAAAGGCATTTACAAAAATAAACAATTCACCACCATTAGAAAGGAGAGATTCTGCAGAAATCAGGTAGGGGGCATGCAGCCCCTACTCTGGAAGGACAGGTAGGAGGAAACCAAAGTGCCCTCCTAATCCCTAGAGCTGGTAGTTAGACCCACATGAAGTCAGGGTCAGGTGTGGCCAGCAGCGAGCAAAAGGTGAGGCTTTCAGACACTGTACACAACAGCAGAAGCTACTAAGGTGCCGGCAACAAGCGGACCAACGGGCCTCAATGTCTGCAGTGAGGCCCCTCTGTGCCCACCAGATCCCACCAGGGGGATTCAGGGGCTTAGAGGCTGAGCTCACCATGATGAGAGGCCTGCTGGTGGGGCCGCGGCCCAGGCCACACCACACAGGCAGCCACCTGGCCTTTGCTGCCCAAACAGAGATTACTTCCAGGTGGGCTGCAGGCTCTTCACACCAGTACACAGTTCCACGTGAGAATCTGTGTCTCTCTGTTAAATACTGCTACTCTGAAAAAAGGGTCTAAGAAAGCCCATGAAAAGACAACTGGGAAGAAACACATGGTACACACTTGACACCATGGACTATCATCCAGAACAGATGAGAGCTCCTAATAGTCAGAAAGACCACACCTGCCCGAGCAGGAAGCTGGTGTCCTGGCATCACCAAGCGCCCTGCCAACCCAGACCTGAAGGAATAGGGCTGACCTCAGAGATGATGGATTTGTTCACAATGTGGTTGGCCAAGAAAGCTGAAATAACCCAGAAGCCCACTGTAGGGTCTCACCAGCATGTGGGAGGCCACAGACACAACCGCCCTTTGCCAGTGGAGGTGACCACTGCTCTCATGGTCTCTGTCATGCTTTACCTGTAGGGACTTTACAGGGTTTGTAAGCACCCAGTACCACTGACAAGGGCCTCAGAGGCAGCTCAGATGTGGACTTGGACCCAGGGTTTTGTAAATGTTAGTTTTACAAGGTGTTTAAAGGCTGAAGAGAATCCAGCACACTAAGAACCTTGTGCTGCCTCTTGCCCCCAGGGCACAGAGGAGAGGAGGGCTGGCCTCAAGGGTGTGGGTGGCAGCAGCTGACTGGGGGCTTGTCCCAGGTCCCATGGTCATTGTGCAGCCACAGTGGAACAGTCCATGGGGCAGAGCCCGAGACCCTTGCCCCCCACGGCCAGGCTGACACTCACCAGCTTCATGCAGATGATGAAGGGTGGCTGGGCTTCTCGGAAGTGCAGGATGGGAACCCGGGGCTTGGGCCTCTCCTGGGAGAGAGGAAGTGACTGTCAGCCCTGCCCTGAGTCACTTTAGGCTGTGGCCGTCCAGGGCTGGGCTGGGCTTCCACTATCCCCTGCTTGGCCACCTCACAGGTGCCTGCAGAACCAACCAGGGTAGTCCAGTCCTGGGGCCCATGAACACGCAGGGGTCCCTAAGGGATGGGCTTGCTAGGCAGCCCCCCCCTCAGCCCAGGGGCAGGGTGGATGTCTAACACACACCTCAGAGTCCTCGTGGCAGTAGAAGCCCTTCTGGATCTTGTTCTCATCCACGTCACAGAAGGCGGCTACCTGGGGGAGCATAGGGCAGCAGCTGGGATGGGGCCTGGGGGGAGGGGGGTGGTGCAGCAGGGCAAGGGCCTACCTTTCGGCGGTTGGCAGCAGTCAGGCTGCGGTACAGCCTGCGGCCCTGCTTGCCTGCATTCCAAATGGTAAAGGTTGCCCAGCGAGGCAGAGCCTGTTCTTCCAGGAAGTGGACACGGTGGGTCCAGATGGTGGCCCTGTATGGGGATGATGGGCAGGCTCATGCAGGGGAAACATTCCCAGCCCCAGGCCTTGGCCAGCCCCGCATGGACATTCACTGCTTGTCTCTAAGAGAAACACACCAGCCAGACACACATCACCTCAGGCAAAATACCGTCAGGCACAGCAATACCCAGGAAGATGCCATCTCAAAGGACATGTAGAGGACAGTAGAGTCACACACTTCAGTTCTAATTAACTGGCAAGACCTCAGCCAGGAAAAGCAGTCTCAGACGAGAAGAGCCCTTTAATGCTATTTCCCTTTAGAGAAGTAGATGGCAATGCAAGGCAACAACGGCCAGGTGTAGGGTCAGTGGGGTCCTGGCTGTCCTAAGTGGAATGGATGTGCGATACTCTAGGCCTGGTGGCACGGCGTATCTACCCACATGGACTTCGGGAGTGGCTGCAGGTGGCCAGTGGGGCGGCTGGGACGAGCTGTGGCTGCACTGGCACCAGCACTGGCCCAGACCCTGAAGGACCTAGTGGCCCCTGGTTGACTCCCAACCCCTCTGACCCTGGAGTCCCCCCTCTGCAATGGAGGCCTTTGTGGGCAACAGGACAAGTAGGGGCCACCTGGTCCATCTCTCAGCTCAGGGGCTGGGGGCTCAGGCCCTCTCAGGGATGTCTTGCCTGGAGGCTGCCTATATGTACACATGTGCAGTGAGGTGTGCATGTATACATGTGTGTGTGCGCATGTGTGGTGACGTATGCATGTGCAGTGAGGTATGTGTACACATGCGTACTGGGGTATGCACGTATACATGTGTGCACATGTGTACTCATGTGCGGTGAGGTGTGTGCAAACACGTGTGCATGTGCAGTGAGGTGCGTGTGTGGTGAGGTGTGCATGCAGACGTGTAGTGGTGTGCGTGTGCATGTATATGCTTGTGCACTCCCCAGAAGCATGCACACGTGTATACACGTGTATGTGTGCAAGGATGGCTCCTGCAGGAAGCTGCCTGGGAGCATTCACGAGATGGCTCAGTTCGTGGCTGGTTCTGATGTTTTGTCCGTGAACAGATTGGTCTGTCTAGCAGCTTGAGGAGAACAAAGCCTGATCTTTCCTTCAGCCCCAGACCAGCTCAGTGGGACTAAGGGTCTGAGTGTGAAAGTTCCAGAGGAAAATTGACAACCTGCAGGGCTCTGGAGTGGGCACAGAAAATGCTGTCAGGACGAGAGTCTGCTTGTTTCCTGCTGCCTGACTGGTCAGATGGGCAGACTCCTGGCTCCACGAGAGCCCTCGCCTCTCTGGTTTGAAAATGTTGGTACATTACAAGGAAAAAAAAAATTAGAAATAGCTGTGATGCCTGCACCTGCATGTTGCCACGTTTCTCTCAGGAGCCTCATCTTCCACCTTTTCCTCAGTTCTCATTTAATCAGGGCAAGCAGGCCTCTCGGGGCCACGCACCACCTGCTTTACTGTTCAGAAGCCATGGCCTAGACTCAGACTGGAAGGGCAGTAGTCAGTCACCCACAACTTAGCACCTCTGGGGCTTTCCTGGAAGGAGCTGCAGTGTCAAGGGCACAGTCTAGAGGGCACAGACAGAGGTACCGTGAACCTCATGGGGACAGGTAGAGAGAGCTTGGGACTCTGCCAGCTTGACCTTCACTGAGGGTGCGAGCCCTGGCAGTGAGTGTCACGTGGCCCTGTGGATGAACACGCTGACTACCTGAGCCTGAGAGCCTCTTCCTCACACTTCCGAGGCTGGAAGCCAAGATCCAGGGCTGGCAGGGCTGGCTCTGCTTCTGTGAAGCAGCCAGGAAAAGCAGTCTGTGACAGTGCCTTATCACTGTGCCTTTTCCTAATGGCGTCAGCCCTCATGACTTGACACCTTCCCCAAAGGTCCCCTCTTCAAACCACCACAGTGGGGTTAAGCTTCAGTCCATGAATTTTGGGAGACATTCAGACCATAGCAGGAGAAGGTCACGAGCCATGGGTGGCCAGACCACAGGCCAGCTGTAATACCCAACAAAAAGCAGTCACAGCAGGAATAGGTGGGCATGGCACTAAACTTGAACATTTTAGAAAGGGTGAGATATTACTCAGGAGACATATACAGAGGACAAGTATAAAGAAAAGGGTGAAATGACAAATGCCAGGTTTAGGAGATTTGCAGGGATGATAAGGTTTAATTTCTTAAATACATTAATTATTCCTTTGTGTCTTTTGGTAAGTGTGACATATTTCATAGAAAATAACTGCTAAATGCTATAAATGCTAGCTGATCTTAGTAAATTAAACAAGGAGCAGAGTCAGGGAGCTCCCTGCAGGGAAAGCTTTTCTGAGAGAAAATTTGCACAAATTCCACCCTTCAGCAAGCCTATGATGATAATTATAGCTCATTACCTGTGAGGTGTCTCAAAGATGTTTAATCCCACACAGAAACTCACATTAGATCACCTCTTTTGTGTTGTGGGTGGCAAAGCCCAGAACACAAAGACAGCTTTATCGCATGCAGCGAGCAAGGGTGCATGTGGCCCTGCCGCCAGGCCTGCGCCTGGTTTCTCCCTGGCAAGGCTATTCCCATCACACTGCAGGCTTGGGGTACTGTGGCCACTACCCAGGGTGACTTGTGACTATAGATGGAGGACTCAAAGAAGCCTTTGCTTATGAAACCTGCTTCATGCCATCTTGAGGGCAACACATGCCAGTGAGCCCAAGAATGTGCAGGGCTAGTAGGCACCTGGCAAAACCTGGCCTGGAAAACCACCTAACCGTTTTACTCATCCAAATTTCCAGCTCCACTTAGGGTAGTAGAAGAAGGGTTAGTTCGCTGGAGAAATACTTGTCAGAAATCTTAAAATTTTAAACTTAGGTATAATTTATACAGTGCGAGGTGCACAGTGAAGTGGGCTATGACAAACGCAGATTTCCCTGTACCCTACTCCCAGCAGACAAAGAGCACGCCCAGCTTCCTGGGAAGTTACCCTGTGTATCGTCCCCACATGAAACCACCACTCCCACATCTACCACTAGAGTGTAGGCTTTGCCTTTTGGAGAACCTGATATAAGCAGACTCCATACTGTGTATGCTTTTGGATCTGGCTTCTTTTACTAATCACATTTTTTTATGTTACTCTATGTTCCTGTGTGCATCAGTTTACCTTCTGTTATTACTCAGGAACACTCCATGATGGCAGGATGTGTCCACCACCCATTCATCTGACCACAAACATCTGGTTCCCAGGTCTTGGCTATCGTTGATAGTGACGTGTTGAGAAGTGTTTTCATTTCTCTTGGATAAACATCTAGAGGTGGAATTGCTGGGTCCTAAGGTAGCTATCAAGTTGATTAACAACAAAGTGCCAAACCATTTTCTGAAGAGGATGGACCACCTCACACTCTTGAGAACAGTGTCAGAGAGTTCCAGCATCCCACCCTGTCAGCACTTGGAACTGCCAGATATACATTTAGCCTCTCTACTGGTGGGCACGGCTGCAGGTTTTCTCTGATACTTATAATGATGAACATTTTGCACTTGCTTGTTGACCATTTATATATCTTATTTTGTGAAATATCATGTCTGTTCATGTATTCTTCCTATTTTTATTGAATTGTATTTTTATCACTGGACTGTAAGGCGTGCCTTATATATCCTATCAGTCCTTCGTTAAATATGTGGATTATGAACATTTTCTCCCAATCTGTGGTCTACTCATTTTCCTAATGATGTATTTTTATAAACAAAAGCTTTTAATTTTGGTGAATTTCAGCTTGTCAATTTTTTTTTTTTTTTGAGGCAGAGCCTCAAGCTGTCCCACTGGGTAGAGTGCCACGGCATCACAGCTCACAGCAACCTCCAACTCCTGGGCTCAAGCAAGTCTCCTGCCTCTACTTCCCAAGTAGCTGGGACTATAGGTGCCGGCCACAACGCCTGGCTACTTTTTGGTTGCAGCCATCATTGTTGTTTGGCGGGCCCGGGATGGATTCAAACTCACCAGCTCAGGTGTATATGGCTGGCGCCTTAGCCGCTTGAGACACAGGCGCTGAGCCCAGCTTATCAATTTTTAAATGGTTATTGATTTTGGTGTCTTCTATAATAAATTTTTGCCATTTCCAAAGTCATGAGAGAGCTGCTGGTGTTTTCTTCTGGACGCTTTATAGTTGTAGTTGCTTTGTTTCTGCATTTGTATCCATGTTAACTTTTCTTTGTAGCATGAGGCTGAAGCTGAGACTCATTTTTTTCCCATATAAACACCCAGTTGTTCCACTTTTACAAATATTGCCCTTTCTCTACTGAACAGCTATGGGGGTGGGGAGGGTAATGAGGAGTCGATGGTGTGAGTGTTCCTGGCGTCTCTGCGTCACTGCCGTGTTTGCCCTTCATGCCACTGCTGTAGCTTCACAGTAAGTCTTAAAATCAAGCATTGTAAACCCTCAACTTTTGTCGTTTTCAAGATTATTTAGGCCATTCTGGCTCCTTTGAATTTCTATGTGAATTTTATAATCAAATTATTGATTTCTACAAAGAAACCTGCAGGGCCTTTTACTTGATTTTTGTCCAATCTGTGTATCAGTGTGAGGAGAACTGATGTGGTGATGGCACCAAGTCTCCTAACCCATGAGCATGGTGTGTCTCTCTATCTAGAAGTCATCTTTATTTTCTTTTCAGTAATTTTTTGGTAGTTTTTGGTGTATAGGACATACGCATGCTTCGTTAAATTTACCTATAAGTACTTTGGTTTTGAGGCCATTGTACAATTAAAAACCCCTGCATTTTGAATTATTGACTGCTACTCTACAGAGATGATATGAATATACATATAATATATAATTGTTATATTTTACATATCTATGAAACTGAACTTGTATCCTGGAAAACTTTCTAAACTATTGGTTCTGATTTCCTTCAAAACACAATCATGTCATCTACAACTGATAATTTTATCTCCACTTTCTCATGTCTGCATTTTCTCTTTTCCTTGTCTTACTGTGCTGACAAATGTTAATAGGAGTGGTCAGAGCAGGCACCACACCCCTCTGCCTCACCCCTGAGAGTGCCGGGTCCTCAGCCCTTTACTGTGAAGATGTCTTCAGATTGACAAATTTCCCTTTGATTTCCAGTTTGTTGACATTAAAAAAAAAAGATGAGGAGACACTAAATGCTTTTTCTGCATCACTGGGATTGTGATTTTCCTTCTTTATTCTTTTAATATAATAAACTATACTAATGGACTTTTGAATGTTAAACCAAACTGGTATTCATGATGTATTATCCTTTCACATACAGTCATGTAGTGTTTTTGAACTTTAGTTGCTAACATTTTATGACTGACTTAGGTGGCAGGTGCGGCCTGTGACGCTTCTCCCTGCAGTGTCCTCACATAGCCACAAGTCGGCACCAGAGTCACCCCGCTGTCAACTCTGAGCCCCTCACGACACCCAGCAGCTCTCTCTCCCCTACTTTCTGGAAGAGCTTATATAAGATTGGTACTATAAAAATACTTCTTCCTTAAATCTTTTTTTTTTTCCCTGGCAGTTTTTGACCGGGGCCGGGTTTGAACTCGCCACCTCCAGTATGTGGGGCTGGCGCCCTACTCCTTTGAATCATAGGCACTGCCCTAAATCTTTTGATAGAATATACCAGTAAAGCCATCTGACTTAGCTTTTCTTTGTGGAGTTTTTAAATTACTAATTTTAATTATTTATTCTTGAATCCATAGACTCTATATAACCCTGCCTTCATTCTCAATATACTGAAAATTCTTTATTATCTTTTTAAAATCAGTCTTGCTAGAGGTTTAATGAGCCTACTGATTTTATTTCAGACAGTCAATTCCTGGCTTTGCTGATTTTCTCTCTATTGACTTTCTATTTTTAACTTCATCATCTCCCACGCTTCTTTCTCTGTACTCAAAGTTCAGTAACTTTTTAAAGTGGAAACGTAGATAACTGCTTAGTTTCTTCTTTATAAACTTTTGAAGTCATAGAATTATATTATAAACTCTATTAGCTATAGTCACAAACTTTGACATAATATTTTAATTATTTTTAAATTTTTTCCGTGTCGAGTGTGCTGTGGCTCATTCCTGTAGTCCCAGCACTTGGGGAGGCCAAGGTGGAGGATCCCTTGAGTCCAGGAATTGGAGGCTGCAGTGAGCTGTGATGGAGGCTGCACTCCAGCCTAGGTGACAGGGTGAGACTGTTTTAAAAAACTTTTTTTCCCCCTCATTTCCTTTGGGATTTTTCCCCCTTGGCTGCTTAATTTCTAAATCTTTATGGATTTTTTTTTTTTTGAGACAGAGCCTCAAGCTGTCCTCCTGGGTAGAGTGCCGTGGCTCACAGCAACCTCCAACTCCTGGGCTCAAGAGAGTCTTCTGCCGCTGCCTCCCAAGTAGATGGGACCACAGGCGCCCGCCACAAAACCTGGCTATTTTTTGGTTGCAGCCATCATTGTTGTTTGGTGGGCCCGGGTTGGATTTGAACCCACCACCTTAGGTGTATGTGGCTGGCGCCTTAGCCACTTGAGCCACAGGCGCCAAACCATCTTTATAGACTTTTAAGGTATTTTAATGATTTCTAATTCTGTATGTTTGCTAAGTATTGAGTCTCCCTAAAATACATGTTGACACCTTGATCCAAATGATGGTGTCAGGATGAGTGGCCTTTGGTAGGTGGTTAGAAATCATTGCCTTTATAAAAGAGAGAGGCTCCCCCATGTGTGGACACAGCAAGAAGACAGCCATGTAGGGCCAGAAGGCACCTCACCAGACACCGAGTCTGGCCCTCAGAACTGTGAGGAATAAATTTCTGTTGCTTAAAAGCCCCCATCACCAGCATCTAGTTAGAGCAGCCTGATGGGACTAAGGCAGTGGTCATGAAACACTCCCTGTACAGTCTAGTTGTTAAACAGACCAAGACTTGTCTCATGGTCCTTGGACTTGAAAAGAATGCATATTCTGCAGTTGAGTATAGTGTTCTATAAATGTCAATTAGGTCAAGTTGTTCAGATCTTTACCATTATAGATTTTCTTCCTTACCTACTCTTTCAAACAGAGTCTCACTCTGTCCCCTGGGTAGAGTGCTGTTGCATCACAACTCACAGCAACCTCAAACTGCTGCACTCAGGGATCCTCCCATCTCGGCCTCCCAGTGTGCTGGGATCACAGGCGTGAACCACCGCCTGGCCTTCTTCCCTCCTTCTATCAGTTGCTGAGAGAGGAGTGTTAACATCTCCAGCTGTGACCCTGTACCTATCAGTCATTTCTTTGCTCCCGTCAGCTCCTGCTTCATGTGTTTTACATGTTCTACGTGCTGTTAACAGGGCATACTCAGGCTTGTTATGTCTCTTACTAAGTGGCTTTCCCTCCAGGTTTGTAAGTGAGTCAGGTTCTTGACTACAAACTCCCCAACAACATGCTCTGCCATAGCTACCATATCAAAGTTCAGATTAACACAGGCGAGAGAAAACACCAAGGCAAGGTGTTTTGCTTAAAGTGGTAAACAAAGAAGTTTTTTTTTTTTTTTTTTTTTTGAGACAGAGCCTCAAGCTGTCCCCCTGGGCAGAATGCCGTGGCATTACAGCTCACAGCAACCTCCAACTCCTGGGCTCAAGCGAGTCTCCTGCCTCCGCCTCCCAAGTAGCTGGGACCACAGGCGCCTGCCACAACGCCTGGCTATTTTTTGGTTGCAGCCATCATTGTTGTTTGGCAGGTCCGGGCTGGGGATTCGAACCCGCCACCTTAGGTGTACGTGGCTGGCGCCTTAGCCGGTTGAGCTATAGGCACCGAGCCAACAAAGAAGTTTTAATGTTGAGCAGCATATGTGCAAAAGTTCAAGGTTCACTTAAGCCACATGGATGCTGTGGGCTGAGACTGGGCCCCTCAGATTCTCATGCTATGACAAAAGATGCTGGCCCTCCTGGGACAGGCCATTCCCATCAGAGAATCCACAACCCTATAGTGCAGGCGTCCTCAAACTATAGCCCGTGGACCCCGTGCAGCCCACCTAGGACATTTATCCGGCCTGCTGGGTGTTTTTGCCACCACTGCCTGTCCTGCTTAGCAGCCGACTCGTCCTGGGGCCCACAGTCCGGCCCTCCAATGATCTGAGGGACAGTGAACTGGCCCCCTGTTTAAAAAGTTTGAGGACCCCTGCTGTAGTGAGTCTCAACCCCGTCCAGGGCAAGAACAGAATCCACTTTTTCCTAGAAACAAAAGGTGTGGCCTGTGCCAGGCTTTGATAGGCAGGGTCCCCCAGAGACCCTTCCTCTGGGGTCCAAGCCAAGTGGCCAAGAGAAGCACCCTCAGCAGGGCAGAAGGCAAAACATGGCAAGGTGGCTGAAGCTTCTGTGTCACATGCAGTTCAAACTAAAGAATGGCATATACACCTTCACCTTCCTCACCCAACTCCCACACCCTCCTGTCCAGCCTTTAGACCAGCAGCCTCTGACCGGTGCCTGGTCTGTCATCCCAGGAAACATCTACAGGCCTCACTTTGAGAGCCATATCAACTCAGAGCAAGATTTCAAAAGGACATTGAAATTTCTAGCACAGACATTTTGCCTCACTTGAAGAACAGGAAAGGATGTTTGGCCATCACCCTGGGGCTTCCCTGGCCACTCTGGGAAGGGCCCCTCCAAGATACTGGGGCACCCTGTGCAGCCCGTGAACCACTGTTTCCCCATTTCCCACTCAACTCTGAGTTTCAAGCAGAGCCCTGACCACAGCCACCTGTGGGGCCCAGCCACCCCACCAGCCCTGGGCCTCAACCATGCTGGCATCTCCCCAGGAGTTTGCGGGGCCAGCTGGGACCTACTCACTCAAGGATGGAATGTGTGGCCGCGTGCAGGTGGTAGCGGTACAAGAGGAGGTTCTGGTCCACTCGGACGACCCCACCGCCCTTCCGGAGGTGTTCGTAGAAGAAAAGCAGGTCTTCTGGCACACCCTGGAAGGGGGAGGGAAGCAGGGACTATGGCTGGTGTTTCATTCATGCCAGAAATACGTGCCTGTTCCAAATGTGTTACACGTATGCATTAATTCAGGTAATCAGAGACTGGCAAAAAGGCTTTTGCTAAGAAATCAAGTTTAGATGCTCAACAGGTGGGAAGAAAACTGTCCTGAAACATGCTGGGGGAAGGTAGGGAGCAGAGAGCACAAGGCAGGCTGGACCTGGGTGGGCTATGTTCTTGGTTCTACCTGAAATTCACTTTATTGGGCAGAAAAGGGAGCCAAGAAAACAGGGGTAGGGCCTAGACCTGAGGTCCCTGCACAGTTGTCTGTCCAGCCCCTCCATTGTTACCACCAGTGGCCGTGGCCTTGGCTTCAGCCTAGGGTGTCCTGTTGGTAGCTGGTACCTTGTCCTGAGGCCAAAGGTCAGCAGACTTGTACTGTCCACTGGGGAGACAGGACCATGGTGCAGGGGGTGTGCGGGGAGCCCTCCTGGGGTGGGGCCTCAGGGCTCCCCATGTCCAGATTCAGACACTCGAACCTCAGCTGTCACCGATGAGCCACCAACACAGAACTCTACTCTGGAGCTTGTTAAACATTCCCACTGGACTTTTCTGTCTTATGAGCACTTGGACCTTCCTTCCCTCACTTTGGAGAAGACCCTAAGCAGGAGAGAGGGATGACTCTAGTCCTCTGCTCCCCCTTCTCCTTAGCCCAGGCTTGAGGCCATGTGCCGGTCAGTGGCGGCTCTCAGACTGAGTCCTTGGAGGACTCCCCACAAAGGTGTCTCTCCTTGAGGTTGGTGGGCAAATAGGGGCCTGTCTGGGCCAGGGCCTCAGTGGTCAGCAGGTGTCTAAAGAGGTCAGCATGCCTCTTGAGCCTGGAAGACAATGTATTAGCCAAGTGCAGCCAGAGTCCTCGTCCAAGCCCATGAGCCATGCCCAGGAGGCAGCCAGTCACCCCACTTCCTGAAACCAATTGTACCTAATGTGGCAATGAGAGGCTCTGGCAGCCCCCATGCCTGCATGCCTGCCTGCCTGCCTGCCTCAGTCGCTCATGAAACCCTCTGACTTGATCATAGAAAGAAAATCTGTACAGAGCTTCATGTTTTTATGGGATCTGGAAAAACCACCCTTAAAGCAGTGACAACTAAGCAGATTCCTCTAAGGGCCCCAATGCCCCGTGGCAGTGTCAAGAAAGGTGTAAGCGCCTAAGTCAGTCAAACAGACCTGAGGGCCATCTGTGCAGTGACTGAAAAAGCTTTATAGAGACCGTGAAGAGACTCATAACAAAATAGTAAATTACAAAATAGGTTTCAAAATTATATTTACAGTTCCACTAAAAGTTTATCCACGATAAAGTTAAAGGAATCACAGAAGTTCAGAGTAGGTACACAGGTACTGGGGCCACAGGGTAATTTAGGGTTAAGGTTTCTAAGGTGTACTGGTTAGCATGATTGGCTTAAACAGTTAATTTAGTTATTTTTTCTTTTTCCTAATTTTCTGTGTTTTCAAAGACAACTTTAAAGAGCATATTGGACCTCTGAACACATTACAGGTTTAGGAAGAGAGAAAAAAAGTCATTTTCTTTTCTCATGACCAAAAAGAACCTACCCCTTTGGGTTTCCTTATTTTCTAGCAAAAACAAAAACAAACAAACAAAAAAAAACAATTGAGAATTTAGTTGAAGGAGGCACCTGGGTGGTGCCTCTGCTTCCCTTGAGGAGGGGAAGATGCTGGCAGGGCACAGGGCTCTTTCCACATACCTGGCTGCTGTGGCATCAGAGGGACCTGGAATGTTGTCCTCACGTTTCCCCCAAGCTCTACTCAACTGGCCTCCACGACATGCGCCAGCTTATAATGAGCCTCGGCTGCTGGGGTGAGCGGGCATCCCTGAGACTGGGCCATGATGGGAGGAAGAGAAGTCACAGCTTAGAAAAGAGTCAAGGAAGACTGCAGAGTGACAAAGGAAACGTGGCCACCTAAACCCAGATCTCTCACTCACCCTCTGTGTCTGTATACCCTCTAAGGCAGATGTGATCACAGGGTGTCAGAAACGCAATGCTGCACTCAAGCTGCTGCGTCCTCTGGGGATGACAGCGTCCAAAAGGACTGCATGGAAGGAGCCAAGTCTGAGGCAGAGTCACTCCCAGGAGGCCTGTCCAGCCCAGGCACAGAGCAGCTGTGGCTCATGGGAGGTGAGTTCCTCTGGGACAGAGGGAACAGATTCAACCTGCTCCCAGCCCCTTCCCCAATCCAGGCAGAAGCCACACTCACTGCACAGTGACAGAAGGGGGTGGCCACCGGGTGACTTCTCTTCCTCCTACTATGGCCCAGTCGCAGGGATGCCCACTCACCCCAGGAGCCCAAGCTCATTATAAGCTGGTGCATGTTGTGGAGGCCAGCTGAGTAGAGCTTGGGGGAGATGTGAGGACAATATTCCAGGTCCCTCTGATGCCTCACCATTTCACTGGTGAGGAATCCAGTGACCCAGGTCTGCACAGAAATGCTCCAATGTGCTCTCATAAACCCACCATTTTTGTTACTTCTTATTTAAGGGCTGGCTCTTCACAGGGGACATCTACTGCCACAGCTGAGCCACATCCTCCCATCACTACTCCACCTCTGAGTCTCGGTCCCTTGGACCCTCCCACCCTGCCTCTTTGAATGCAGAACTGGATGCATTTTCTTTTCTTTTTAAACACAAGAAAAATTGTTGATTTTATTGGTATTACAGTACTTTTTTTTGTTTGGGGATTTTTTTTGGCAGTTTTGGCCAGGGCCAGGCTTGAACCTGCCACCCTACTCCTTGAGCCACAGGTGCTGCCCTACAGTACAGTTTTAATACAAGCTAAATACAAATTAAATTGTTACAAATTCACTCACTTATTTTACAAAACAGTATGCTAAGATCAACCTTGAAAGGTTTACAAGAAAACAAAATGTAAAAAGTATCTTCCTCAATTCTAAGGACTTCATATACAAATGTAAAAATTAGTACTTGTCAATAATCACATTGAATGTTTAGTTACTGATTGAACAGTAAAAATCAACTTCTGCTTTTAAAATCAAATACTTCCAGTAAAAGCACATTATTTCCCACGTACCTCATCTTTATATTTGCACAGAATTCCAAGGCAAAGATTGCTCTGGCTCTGTGAAGTACCAGACATGACTTGTGTGGCTGAGTTATCACAGGTCCTTTACTCCTTTCTACTGATACATCCTCAGTTTCTCTGGAGGGGAATATGAACTGGTTTCCATGGAATCAAATTACAAAAGGCTGGTTCTGTACAGGAATTTCCACCATAAAAATTTCTAAGTTTTCCACTGGCATACCCAAAGCTCTTTGCAGATGGACAAGGTTTATTTTTTGCATTTTCCAATAATTCCTTAAACTTTTCCCCTGCTATTTCCTTTTTTTCCTGTAATTCAGCCATTGTTTTTCTTCTTCCTCTTTCTTCTTCTCACATTCTTCAGCTTTTTTAAAAACTATTCTTGATATTTTTCTTTTGCTTTTTCTTGCAATTGTTCTTTCTCCAGTTTCTTTGCTGCTTTTTCCTGTTT